CTTTTGTGAATCTCTTTAATGTGTGGCTTTAAGAGAAGACAGCTGGATGCTCATACCTGCCGCTTCTGCGTTGGGTCTCTGGACGTGGGTTGTTTTGGTTGAAGTCTGTAAAGAAAATCTAGGCCGTGCTGATAGGTCATTGGAAAAGAGGACCTTGCAGGGCCCCTGAAAGGAACTGGAGACCACACTTGGAGAAATGCTGATCTAATGCTGATCTATGTGGGTCTCAGCTCACTTTTTGGAAAGCCATGCACCCCTAACCTCAAGCCCATCATCTCTCTTCCCCTGGGAACGAGTCCTTAAACCTGGTTCTTCTCACTCAAGTAACATTGGGGACCCCACTTAGGTGAGGTGGAGTGGGCTGGCCATTGCCCCCCTCGGTCCCCTGCGGGTGACACTCTCCAAGCAAAGTTGCCTCCGGCAGAGACCCGGGCACTGGGTCTGATGTTCCCAGGTTTTCTGATGAGGAGCCCTACGCGCACAGTTCCTAGCGATGGTGCTGTTTAGACCAGCATGAGGAAGCGCTGTTCCTTACTGCCTTGTATTTTGCAAGGCGGACCAGCCCCTCCAAGGCCAAAGCCGTGCCCAGGGTGGCCTGAAGGAGCTCCATGTGCAGGCCGCGGGTGCTGCTCACCTGTCCCCCTCTTTGTCCCTTCCTGAGAGCCGGGGCAGAGCCTAGCGTGGGAGGCCCCTGTTGGGCAGCTTCAAGTGGGGGCAAAGTTGTGATGCAGGCGTCCCCAGTAAAATCGCCTTGGGGAGAGGGGTGGGGAGGACACCCGGGAGGCCGGAGGTGCCCCGAGGTCCTTGGGACGGGTGAAATATCCTCAAGCAGCACAAGCGTTCGTTCGTGGGCCGAGGCGGGGTCAAAACAAAGAAATACAGCAATAAAACATGCAGCAGCATTCGGCCAGCCGGTTTTCCCTGTTACTGCTTCTCGCAACTTCCAGCCCTGGCCCTTCAGGAGCCCCACCCCAGCTGGAATTCACAGGGAGGGCGGTGGCATGACTCACAGTGACCCAAAGCGCAGTGAGCCCGGCCACATCTGCCTTCCTGGGGGGACTCTCCTCCCCACCCCCTCCTCCCTGCTCCCTGCCTGCCCCCACCCCCCAAGCAACAGCCGAGTGACCCCAGACAACAGCAGGCCTGGCACCCCGAATGACCACGGGGGCGGGGGGACAGGGAAGGGGGGGGGGGGGGGGGGGGGGGCCTCTGGGAAGAACATTCTGCGTCTTCCCAGACCTGCCCCAGCCTCCGGGCTTCACAACAAGGCTTTTCTTGGTCCTCCCCAGATGGACGGGCCTCTACGGGCAGGGCTGGTAGGAGGACAAGAGCCCAAGCAGTCGGCCAGGCCAGCGTTTTCAAAACTTTGCTTTGGCCACAGAACTACTTCTGGGGGTTCCTTTTGTTTTGTTGGGGTTTTTGTTTTTGTTTTTCTCTTAACCAAATGGGGGCCAGCAGAGCTGCTCTGTCGAGAGCTGGGCCCCAAGCCTCGCGGACTCTTCTGGCCTCTCTCGTGTTTGCCGTCAGCCCCCAGATCTTGAAAACACGGTTTGGTAACTACGAGTGTGGCTCATTGGCCCATTTCACAGATGGGGCAACAGAGCCCAGGAAGGAAGGAGTCTCTTGCCCACTGACTGTGTGTCGGGGACTGGGTAGAACTGGAACGTGGTGCTTTCTGCAGGGGCCCTCAGGGGACAGGGAGCAGCGACAACTGTAACAGGAGACCAGCATGGGACGGGGTGCACGCTGAGCAGAGGGGTACATGGGGGCAAGGAGAGGGAGGCAGAGGCTGATGTTCAGGCAACAAGTCACAGAGGGGCAGCCCAGCCTGCGGGGCAGACAGGAGAGGAAAGATAAGCCTATCTCGGTCCTTCTCCCATGGCCGCAAATCCAGCCTCTGACCGTGGCGGTCACCACCCCTCCATTTCCACCCATGGGACCCTGCCCTTCCCTCGCCTCCTCACCCTGGGAAAGGGGAGCCTCAGCCCTGTGACACATGGGGCTTCCACGACCCTAGAACAGAGGCCCATTGACGCCCCCCCCGTTCCTCCATTCCCAGCCTCCTCCTGCCGCAGGGAGGGTGGGCTGCGCTTCTGCACATTCCTGAGAAACAGTCTGTGCTCTGAGATCCCACGGGCCCGGGCCCTGCTGACCATGAGGCCTAACTCCCAGGCTTTCCAGAGAGGGAGGGCATGGCTTTTGTCACATTCTCAAATGGGTCCGTGGTCTAAAAAGAGGCCACGAACCACAGCATGAGGAGAGGAGGGGTCTTGCAGAGGGGAGAGGGTGGAGGGAAGGATTGTGGGGTAGGGAGAGCTGTGTCAACGATATTCTTCTGCCTGGTGATACTCTGTCGGAGGCTTTATGTGTTACTTGGTTTTATTTCTCTCACCTGCCTGTGAGGGTGGGTCGCTGGCTCCATTTTACAGATGAGGAAACTGAGACCCAGTGACATGAGGTAGCTTGCCCAGGACACAGCCATGGCTGAGGGATGGAACAAGCCAGGGCAGGGACAGAGGCCCAAGGTGGTGCTGTATTTGGTTCCACAAAGGCCTTTGGCTCTGGAACTGGGCAAAGCCTCCCTTTGGCAGCATCCACACCAGACCTTGAGCCCCTGTGTCTAGGTCCCCAAGAAATTATTTCAGCAGCCAAAGAACCCGACGCAGGGCTTCTTGCCTCTGAGGGTCCTTCCTGGTGAATGGACAACAAGACCCCCAAGACTGGTGTCCATTCCTTTCTAACAAGGAGGAGGGAGCAACATGTCTGTACCGTGGTGAGTAGGACCCGGCCGGAGGGCAGGTTCAGCAAGTCTGAGGCCCAGTCCCCTCCAGATCACCCCAGCAAAGACCCTTTCTTTCTTTGCCCTTAGAAATGTCAGCCACCAAACCTCAGGGCGGCATCTCTACTGTCCAGCCCACCTCCTGCCCAACTCACTCCAATGGTAAATAAGGCAGAGCAATCCCAAAATGGGCCCCAGCTGAGGCATAGGCCCACCCCCCAACATTCCTGAAATTCTTGTTTAAAACATCTTTATTGGGGCGCCTGGGTGGCCCAGTTGGTGAAGCATCTGCCTTCAGCTCAGGTCATGATCCCAGGGCCCTGGGATGGAGCCCCTTGTCGGGCTCCCTGCTCAGCGGGGAGCCTGCTTCTCCCTCTCCCTCTGCCTGCCTCTCTGCCTACTTGTGCTCTCTCTATATCTCTCTGTCAAATAAATAAGTAAAATCTTAAAAAAAAATAAAAATAAAAAACATCTGTATTGTATGTGATTTTTTTCTCTTTCATTGTTATTGGGATATAACTGAGTTAGAGCATTGTATAAGTTTAAGGTGCACAGCATAATGATTAAATTACATAAGCTATGAAATTATGACCACAGTAAGTTAACATCTTCACCTTGAGTAGTCAGGGGGAGGGAAGAAAAGAAAAAAAAAGAAAAACATGTTCTTTTCTTTGCCATGAGAACTTTCAGGCTGTGTACTCTCTTAGCATCTTTCGAATCTCCTACACCTCAGTGTTAACTATGGTCATCATGTTGTACATTGCATTCCTGAAATCGTGGGCCTTAGTTTCTCCATCTGTAAATCGGGAATCATGATGCCCAGCCTACTTGCCTTACAGGGATTTCTAAGGATCACCCGGGGAAGGTGTTTGGAAAAGTTCAGGATCCCCCACCGACATGACAGGGAGGGAACCCCTGCTGGGACTCACCCATCAGCCACATATTTCGGGTCCCCAGGGTGCTGGAATCTGGCCACCCAGCCTGGGAGCCTCCCTCCTCTGGGGTAGTTCCGCGTGCGGCTTGGGGGTCTAGGGGCCCAGAGGGTGAGGGCAGCAAAAGTGGGTCTCCTTGCTTTCCCTGTCCACCCTGAGTGGCCCCTCTTGGTCCTCACGGTGGGCTGGGGGCAGGAATGTCATCATTCCTATCACGGCCTGGTCTGGACAAGGCACCAAGGACAACAGGAACTGGGGAGAGGTGTCTGAGAAAAGCCACGGTGTTTACCCATGCTCTTTCACATCTAGAGGGCATAAAGTTTATTCTAACCCTCTAGGGTAGAAAACCATGTTTCTTTGCTTCTCTAAAGCGATTAATGCTGTTTCAGCTTGACTGGTGGGGAATTCAAGCTTTAGTCATGTTTGGGGAGCCTGCTCTTTCCCTGGGGTTGTGCAAGAATCCTGGGGGTCTTATACAGAGTCCAGAACATTTGGAGCAGGGCCCCTAATCCACACTGGTGACTATTCTTGGCCACGTCTGTGGGGTCCCTTGCTGGTGGGCAGGGGTGTCTGCAGAGGCTCCCAGTGGGGGCTCTCAGTGTGTGGTGCCACCCAAACCCTTGTCCCTCCTCAGGCTTGGGGAGCCTCTGCCTCCACCCCGCTCAGGGCCCCTTTCCCCCAGGCTCCCTCTCCTCCCTCCTACTTGACATCCTTTCTAAAGGAGCCCTGGGGTTTTCTTCTGGGTGCCTGGCTACTTTTCCTTTCAATCCCACAATCCAGAACCCCACCCCCACCCCCTCCAAGGCAAAGGAACACTGAGATTGGGCCATCTACATAAGAAGCAGTAAAAATGACCTCAGAAGCATGAAAAAAACAACTATCAGTACATAGGACCCTTATCACAGAGCAGGGGGGTTTACGAGGCATGCCGTTCCCAAGGTTTACCCTATGTGGAAAAGCAGCCTCTAGTACCATGACCAGGCCGCCTTTGGCTTCGTCCTGGGTTGGTGGGGGGCGGTCTTCATCCAGAGGTTGGAGGGCTTGGGAGACATGCATGCCCTGGGAAGGCCATCTCTACAGGAGTTTTCCTGGCCCTCTGGAGAAGGTGCCGAGATGCCTCCTTGCAGCTGGGAAAACTTCTTGAAGCGGGGGGGGGGGGTCCCCCCCCGGGCCGGGGTTTGGGGGGGGGGCCCTAAGCCACCTCCAGGGGGCTGTTCTGGGCATGTTGGGTGGGACTCAAGGGTAGGGCCGGGCCACCCCTGACCTCTGGGCGTCCTTCACTCTTGCAGGACCTGGGCATGGAGTCGACCTCTCTGGACGACGTTCTGTACCGCTACGCCAGCTTCAGGAACCTGGTGGACCCCATCACACACGACCTCATCATCAGCCTGGCCCGCTACATCCACTGCCCCAAGCCGGTAGGGCAGCTGGGTCTGAGCCGGCCACCTCTGGGGGTGTGAGGTGGGCGCCTTTCTGGTCAGAGCAGCTCAGTGTCCAGGGAGGGCACTGCCCAGGGCCCAAGGAAGACAGGCCAGCAGGGCCTGAGGTGCCCGCCCTGTCCTAAGTAAGGCCCAGCATCCATTGGTGGGGGCTGCGCATGCCACTATCAGCCCGGGTTGTGTTTGGCCCCCCGGGGGTATTAAATCTGGACTCGTTGCCAACATTTAAAACTCAGACTATTTCACACATTTCTCCATATTCAGCTGCCCTCGAACAATGGGACGCTCCAGCGCATGGATCCCCATTTCTATAGCACTGGAGCTGAGTAACCACCCCTGTGATGTGGGGCCAGGACCGCGATGTACAGTTGTGTATGTCGCACCCTGCACAAAGACAGGCAGACGCCGAGGTGGCAGGAGACAGGTCAGATCCAGCCCCGTCTCTGCCACCAAGTTACAGGCACTGGCGCAAGGCTGTGTCCATCCAGAGGTGGACTTTTTCTTATTTGCACAAAGGTGCCATGTAAATCCAGCAGTGAGCTCTCTTGGTGCTCTCCAGGATGCCTCAGGCCCCAGCACTCCCAATGGCCTTCCTCTCTGAGGCTGAATGTCATTTTACACCCACCCACTTTGCTCATGCCCACATCTGCCTGGCTTCCAGAGCTGAGAAGGAAAAGCTCCGCAGGCAGGTGCTGCTTAGCCAGCTTCTGGATGGAAGGGCCTGCCCCTGTTCCTCTCGGGGTGCCGGGCCAGCTTAGTCAGAGCTGCCCATCGTGACCCCGGCAGGGAAGGGGAGGGCCAGTGTGGGGCAGGGCAGCTCCACTCTGGAATGTTTCTCTCCCATCCTCAATTTCCAGCAGCTTCCAAAAGAAGGGCTTCCAGGAAGCCAGAGCAGGACCCAGGAGTGCCTGAGGGAAGCTTCTGCTTCCAGAGTAGGATTGAGAATAAGAGGGAGGAGGTGGTGGTCAAACCCACCCTTCCCTTGGCCAGACGCTGCAACGTTGCTCTGGAGCTGAGCTTCCATCCGGGCCTTTGTCTAGGGCCTTCTCTCTGGCTCCTGGGGCTGTCTGGGGCCAAGACTCTGAGATGAGGAGCAAGCTCTGAAGGGCTGGGAGCCAGGGCAGGTGTGGGGGTGGGTTAGAGCTGGTGGTGGGATGCAGCAGAAGGCAGGGTTGCGGGGCTCAAATATGGGGAAAAGCGGGTAGTGAGGGTTGGCAGACTGGGAGCCTCAGGGCCTGGGGAAGAGGGGCCGGTGCCAGGAGCCGCCGGGAAACCAGCTGGGCCTGGAATCACCTTCACTTCTCATTCCGATTCTACCTGGCTCAGCCTGGGGCAGCTGCGAGCAGGGTCTGTCCGAGGCCTAGCAGGTGCCAGACCTCTCTGCCTTTTCTGGAACATGAATTCACATGCCCACGGGTGACGGGGTGACAGATCACAGGGCACTCGAAGCAGCTCAGTAGGAGAGATGTTATTTTTATGCCCATTTTAGAGTTGAGGAAGACCAAAGTCAGGTAATGAAGCAATCTGCTAACGGGTACACCGCAGGTGTGATTTGGGGCCCAGTTCTGGGCAGAGTGCAGGCTGGTGCTCAGGCGCTGGACCCCTGTGCTCCCAGTGCTCTTGGGGTGGGGGGTGCTTGTGGGGCTGCATCTGGGCTGGAGGAGGAGGGCCTGCCTCCCTCCACATAGGAGGGGCCTGCAAGTGGGTAACTGCCCATGCCAAACCACAGGACATGGGAAGGAGAGGTGGCCCAAGGGGTTCTGGGCTGAGATCCATCCCCTCCCGTCTGGGTGGAGACCACAGGGGCCGTACCTGGGGGGTCTGAGCTCAGGCTGCTACCACACGTTACCCCTGACTGGGTGGCTTAGAAGCAACAGAATTGTGTTGCTCACAGTTCTGGAAGCCAGAAGTCCAAGATCAGGTTGCCAGTAAGGTCCGGTTCTGACGAGAGCCCTCTTCCCAGTTTGCAGATGGCTACCTTCTCGTTGTGGCCTCACGATGGTAGAAAGCAAGCCAGCTAGCTCTCTGGCTTCTTCTTATAACCCTCATGACCTCATCTAATCCTACTTTCCCCCCTAAAGGCCCCACCTCCAGACACCATCACCCTGAGATGGGGTTCAACCTATGAGTTGGGGGGTGGGGGACTCAAACATTGGGTCCCCCGCCTGGGTGTAGCTTTCTCAGGCCGCTTCATTAGCTGAACTGTGTTTTCCTCAACTCCAAAGGCGAATAACAATACCCTCCCCTGGAGAGCCCTTTGGAGAGTTCAGTGAACTGATTCAGGAGAATGTGCCTGGCACAGCTGAGCACCCTATGCCCAGAATCTAAGCTGTACCTAGTCACTGAGCACCCACCGTGGGCCAAGCAGGGTGCTCAGACCCAGCAGGTCCGTGGTGGGACACAGGCAGGGAGTGGGCTCAGAGTCGTGGAGAACAAGGGGCCGGCCTCTGATTTCCCGATTTCCAGAAACGGCCAGGGGTGTCAGCCCTGTCGGAGGCCCCAGGGGGCCTGGCTGGTTCCCCTTAGCCATACCCAAGGCCATGAGGCAGGGGGGGCCCTTTGGAAGGACTGTCCTGGTTGTGGTTGAGGCCAGGGTGGGAGGTCCTGGTTCTGGGGCCCCGAAGCTGGGAATAAGGACAGCGCCTGATGGCACCGTCCCCAAAACGTGAGCTGGCTCGGGGCTGGCCAGGACTTCCTGTTCTTAGCTCTTTCATCTGAGAACTTCAGATCAGAGATGTCAAGACCATCAGCCATGAGGGGCCGTCTCCCTCAGGGGAGATATGGGACAAAGGAAATAGCCTTCCTCGCCCAATCTCAGTGAAGCACCCACCAGACCAATAACCCCACCAGCAAGATGACCCCCTCAAATGAGTCCCAGCCTACCCAAAGTCCCCTCCTGAGTCCCAGCTGGACAGGGGCCTAGGCCCTAGAAGGGGGTGGGTCTGTGCGTGCCCCGAGAAGGAGGGGACAGGCAAAACCCCAGTCCTCCCATGACTGTGCGTGATCCATCCACAGCCCAGCTTCCAGCTCAAAATTCACCCACCGCTTGGACATCTCCGCCTGGGTGTCCCTGACTCGCCACCCCTCCCCCACCCCAAACGCATCCCACCATCAGCACAGATCATGTAGCGGGAAAGTTCAGAGACCCCTTCGTTCCCTGGGCCCCAGCGCCAACCCCGCACATCCCAGCATGCCTCCCGGCCCTCTGTGCTCCGGGAGCAGCCAGGGAGCCATCTGCAAGGGAAATTGGATCACCTAAGTACCTCGCTGAGAAGCCTTCCACGTGGGGTGGTGTCATACTTTTCACCAAAACCCAAACCCCGTTCACGGCCCCGCCTGAATCTCCTGTCTCACCCTCTCCACTCTGCTCACTAGGCTCCTGCCACATGGGCCTCCTCTCGGTTCCTGGAGCATCCAGATCCTCTCCTACTTCCAGGGACCTTGCTGCCACCTCTGCCTGGGCTCCCCGGCTCCTCCATTCAGGCTCAGCCTCACGGTTGCCTCTCCAGAACCTTCTGCGACCAGCCGCATTGACACAGCTCCCCCACATCAGCCCATGCCCTGGTCTCCCAAGTCATCTGGCTTATTCATTTGTCAGCTGACATATTGTCTGCCTTCCCCCACGCGAACAGCAGGATTGCCAAAGGGACAGGAGATGACATCTGTCTTGTTCGCAGTTACATCTTGCATCAGGCAGGGCCCTGGCGGGAAGCGGGCCAGCACATTCCATTGTGAATTTTTGAGAGTTTAATAACGGGGCTATTTCCAGGGTTGTGGGCAGGAGGAAGGAAACCAACGGGGGATACTAAGATACCCAAAGACTAGCAGCAGGAGGAAGCTGTTATCAGAAAGAGGCCATGGGTACAAGCCGCGACCAGAGCCGAGAACACCTTTTCCAGAATCGTGCTGTATTTTCTATGGCGTGTAGCAAATGACCCCAGAACTCGGTGGCTTAAAACAGTCGACACTGGTCCCTGTGCAGTCTCTGTAGCGTGATTAGGTAGTTCTAGCTTAGGGTCCCTCAAGACAGTGGCAGGGCTACAGGGATCTACAGGCTTGGCAGAGAGTGGCAGGCCCCCTTCCAGGCTGGCCCATTCCTTGGCTGCTGACAGGAGGCCCCAGTTTCTTGCCATGTGGGTCTCTCCATAGGACCGCTTGAGCTTTTCTCACGATGGGTAGCTGGCTTATCCCAGAGCAGGTGATCCAAGAAAAGAGCAAGGCAGACACCACAGTATCTCTTAGGACCTCGCCACATTCTATGCATCACCCAGATCAACCCTGATGCGGTGCAGGAGACTACGGGAGGGAGCAATGACAGGAGGCCAGGATCCATGGGGGCCGTCCTGGAGGCTGGCTGCCACACCACACGCTAAAGCCGGGAGGGTGACAATGGGAAGGATCTTTCCTCCTGCCCTCTGATCTCACGCCCATCGCTCTCATTAGCTGAACCCAACTGGAAGCCGGGGCAGGAGGGCTGGCGATGCTGTCTATAGAGTTCAGCCTTCCAGGCACCCGAGAAGAGCAGAGAATGGACTCAGGGTAGGGAGTAAAGGCAAAGCCCAGCAAGTCTCCCCGTATCTGGAGGAGCATCCAGCTTGTAGGAGGAAGGACAGTCAGTATCTGATGAATGAATTTATGAATGAGTGATGGAAGCCTTTGGGTTCCCAGTAGTGGCGGGCTGTGCTTGTTTGGGGTCTGGGGGAAGCGTACAAAGGGGCCGGGGGAAGCCAAGATGGCAGGTGGGAGTCACCATCTGACAGATGAGAGGTGGAGCAGAGTCCACGTGCTTGTGGGACTGCAGTCGGCCTTGAGAATCTTTCCTGACAAGTCAGTGAGAGTCCCTCAGGGTCCTCTCCAGGGCCCTGGGCAGAGGCGGGGGGGGGGGGGGGGTTGCAGTGCTGCGGGCGCCCCTCGCTCCACCCTGCGATGCCCAACCACCCCAGGCTTGCATCATACCCCTCTCCTTCCTTTTCCATGGGTGGCAGGAAGAGCGGCAGAATTGATTCCACAAACTGCCTTTTTTTTTAATCTTTTATTTATTTTTTATTTTTTTAAAGATTTTATTTATTTATTAGAGAGCGAGAGAGAAACCGCATGAGAGGGGAGAAGGTCAGAGGGAGAAGCAGGCTCCCCGCTAAGCCGGGAGCCCGATGCGGGACTCGATCCCACGACCCCGGGATCATGACCTGAGCGGAAGGCAGTCGCTTAACCAACTGAGCCACCCAGGCGCCCACCACAAACTGCCTTTGAGCCTCGGGTGTGGGTGAGGGCTCTGTTGCGCGTCAAGCTAGGAAGAGAATTTATCCTGATATCGAGGGGCCCCATGGGGCCCAAAGGCAGCCAAGCTTGGAAGGAGGGGCCAGAAGTACAGACGAAACGCAGGGCAGGCATCTCTCCATCCCTCCTCTCGGCTCCCCCGGACCTCCCTCTCCATTCCGGGGGCTCCGAGTCTACTCGGCGGCGGCGTCCAGCCCTGGGAGCAGACGGGGGTGTGTCTCGTCTCCAGGAAAGGGCCGATTGGCTGCGCTCTGCCAGTGCCCGCTTCTGGACCAATCAGCTGCAGCCTGGCATGGGGTCTGGTTGCACAAAGGGGCTGCTGGGCCTCACCACTTTGAGCAGCAGGGAGGGGCCTGCCGACCGCCGAGGGCTCGACGCGGGGCTCACGGACCGGGTGACTTGCGGGGCCGGTGGTCACACCCCTCGGCCAAGGTTGCACAAGGGGCACGTGGCTGCCGTTTCTGGAAAACCACGCAGAAACGACACTTGCGCCTCCTCCCTCCCCTTCCAGCCCCTGCCTTCCCCACACTCTCCTTCTCCAGCTCTGAGCCAGTCCTGCTTTGTCCTCTTCTCCGCGGGAGGGAGACCTGGAGGGGGCTTCGAAAAATCCACGGAGTTGGGGGGGGCGGAATTAGATGAGCTTGCAAATGATAGAAACACCTTGAACCCACCTAGGCCAAAGATTTATCACCGGGAGGGCAGCGCAGGGCGGGATGGCAGGTTGGGAAGGATGCCAGCCTCGGAGCCGGGCTTTTGCGTCCTGATTCCATCTTACAAGTTGTGGGGCTTGCCAGTCTAGTCAGCTTCCTTGTGCCTCCGTTCCCTCCTTTGTAAAGTGGGGGTTATAGTAGCGCCCGTTTCATAGGATCATTGCGAGTTACAGGATCGTGAAGAGTTCGTGCAGGCAGCGCACAGAGGCGACGCCTAACATAGCAGAGGCACAGTAAATGGTAGCTGCTGTTCACGTAGCCCAGACAAACGGAAGGGAGTTCTCATTTCTGTGAGGACGCGAGCTCACGTTGCGTCTCAAATCGCCTGTGAGGTGACCGTATCTGTTGTCCTTGTTGGTGAGGAAACAGGCTTGCTCAGTCTCCCGGGCGGGGAACAGCCGTGCGCGGTCAACCCATTGCGGCGCCCTGCACACAGCTGCCCCCTCGTGGCAGTGCCGGCGCACTGCGGCGGCTGCTTTGCCGCCTTTTCCTCTCTTTGTTTCTTCCTTCACGGCCCAGGCCCGGAGGATGACACCGCCCCCCCCCACCGCGCCCCCCGGAAGTGGCTGAACGAGCAGCCGAAGCTGAGTTGGAGCAGGTGCCGTGGGAGAGTGGCAATGTTCTGGCCCCGGGGTGGTCCCAGGAAGGAAGCTGGGCCGACCACCAGTCCCACCTCTCCCTCCCTCGGTCCTTCTTGTCTCTGAAGCTTTTGAACTGGTGTTTCTCCAACTTGGCACCCGAGGAATCATCCGTAGAGCTTTAAAAAAAAAAAAAAAAATCCCTGCATGCAAGATGCCCACGCATGCTGGGGGTGGCCCAGGCAGCGTTTTTTAAAGCTCCTTGGTGATTCCAGGGTGCAAGGGCCCCAAGTGAAGAAGCTCTCGATGCGCCATCTCTGCTGTCACCTCCCATCCTCCCTTTAGCCTCCAGAGTTGGCCTTCACCCGGGCCCCCGCCATGACCGCCCCTCCCTGAGCCTCTTCTGGCCAAGGCCTCCTCACTGGAGGCCCGCCAGCCCTTCTTCTCCTTGGAGCCCTTGGCTACACTGTACCTTCTCCATCCCTTCGGGTCCTGTGTGTCCTCCCCTTGCTTTCCCCGTCAGCTCATTCCACGGCCAGACGGTAAATCAGAAGCTGGTGAATGTGTCTTGAGCCCCAGCCTCATACATCCACTTGCATCTCCCAGGAGGGGTCCCTAGGCCCCTCAAACTCCACGTGGTTCCAAATGAGCCGCGCGTCCCCCTGCTTTATCATCTCCTTCTCTCCCGGAGCCCCTTGCCTTCTACCGAGGTCCCAAGCCCAAAGCCTGGATCCTTCCTTGTCCGCCGCCCTGCCCACACCCTCTCCATCCCGCGCACTCCCAGCCCACTTTCGGGGCTTTCCGCAGGCCTGGCAGGGGTGCCCCGAACCACACAAAGCCGATGGGACTGGCCCTGGACCACTCTCTGTCAGAGGGACAGTCCCAAAATGCAAACGTGATCCTGCTCTTCTTCCTCCATTGAGCGCATCTGCTTCTCCTGCTTCCCATCGCACGCACCCGTAACGAGGAGGCTCAGCAGGAAACTGAGCTCTAGAATCAGAACACGGCAACCCAGGGGATGCGAGTGTAATCACCTGAAGCGACAGGTGACATTTATCAGACAGGCAGACCTCAGGAAGTGAGGTCCCGGGAGAACCAGAGACCAGAGGTGCGGTCCACACAGATTCTATTCCGTCTTGAGCCTCTGTCTCCTGGATCCCTGCTCAGATGCTTCACCTCTTCCGATCCTCCACACCCCCTTTTCCTACCTCTTCTCCCTCTAGTCTCCCGTCCTCAGGGTCTTCTTCTCTTGCCTTTCCAACAGCTCCAGCCCTGCTCTCTATGCCTCAGTTTCCAACTCTGTAAAATGGGGCTAATGAAAGCAGTTCCGCTCTGGGGTGTTGTGGGAATTCCATGAAGTCCTAGCGTAAGGTCCGTGTGCAGCAATCCAGGTGACACATGACAGTGGCTTGGACCAACGTGGTAGCCGTGGAGGTGGTGAGAAGTGACCAGACCCCAGGTTGTCACCTGCTCCTGTAACACCCCCCACACCCAAACCTTTGCACACATTTCCTCCTCACTCGGAGATGCCTCTTGTTTCTTCTCTCCATGCAAAAATCACAAACCCATCCGCCCTGAAAACCCCAACTCACATGTGAGCCTTGGGGGGAGGAGTCATCCCCTTTACCCTGCCAGAGTTTTGCATGTCTTTGTTGCTCTTCTAGTTATTGCTGTAGTGAGCATTCCTGCAGAGCTTGCTGTGAGCCGAGCTATAGTCACAGGCCCTCTGCAAATAGTGACTCATTGCATTCTCACAAAATGCCCCGTGAGCTGGGTTCTGTTATCCCTTCACGGAGGAGGATTGAAGGTCAAGTGACTTGCCCAAGGCCACAGAGGAGGTAACAAAGCAAGGGTTCAGATCCACATGGTTTGGCTCCGAGTCCATGCTCTTAAGTACTTAATATGCTGAGTCTCCATTAGCAGAGTGATGATGGTAACAACCATCAAGCTGACCTTTATTGAGTGCTCACTGTGTGCCAGGCACTGGACGTGAGCTCATGGCTGAACCTCACACGCTCTTGGCCCCCCCCCCCTCCCCCAGGGCTTGGGGACTGTCTATTGAGTTGACTTCCCTTGGGACGGAGATGGAGTCTCTAGCATCTCTCTGCTGCACACTTTAACCCAATGTAAGTTTGTCAGAGCCTCCATAACAAAATACCACTTAAAACAACAGAAATTTATTTTCTCATAGCTGTGAAGGCTGGAAGTCCAAGATCAAGGTGTTGGCAGGGTTGGTTGCTTCTGAGTCCTCTCCTTGGCTTCTCCAGGGTCTTCAAATGGTCTTTCCTCTATGCGTGTCTGTGAGCTAATCTCTTTTCATGAGGACACCAGTCATTTTGGATTAGGGCCCACCCCAAATGACCTCATTTTAACTGAATTGCTCTCTAGATGCCCTGTTCCCACATACAGTCGCAGTCTGAGATACCTGGGTTGAGGACTTAAATTTAAGAACTTGGGTGGGACACAATTCAGGACATAATGCCCAGGGTTTCAAACGCAAAAGCTGATGGGCCTGCAGCGCCTGGCTCAGTCGGTAGAGTGTGCGACGCTTGTTCTCCGGGTCATGAGTTCAAGCCCCACATCGGGTGTAGAGCTTATTTAAAAGAAAAAATGTTGGGGCGCCTGGGTCGCTCAGTTGGTTAAATGGCTGCCTTCAGCTCAGGTCATGATCTCCGGGTCCTGGGATCGAGCCCCACATCAGGCTCCCGACTCAGTGGGGAGTCTGCTTCTCCCTCTGCCTCTGCTGCTCTCTCGCTTGCACACTCTTTCTCTCAAATAAATGAATAAAATCTTTTAAAAAATAAAGTGATAAAAAAAAGTGCTGATGGGCCAGACAGATTACAGTAGATGAATGAATTGTGCTGGAAAAGACCTGGACTCCTCACTTGTTTATTTTCCCACTTGTGACATCATAAAAATATTTCCCTTTCTTCTTCTTGCCTAAAACAATTGCCTGGCACCTAGTAGGTGCTCAGTAATCCTTGGTTGAGCAAACGAGTGAGCAGAAGGGCCCTGGTCACTGGGGAGAGGCAGGGACGATGATGAATATTGGCTCAGGGGTCAGCCAGCACTCAGCTCTGGTCGATTGGTCAGATTGTGAATGTAGAGTTTTATATCAATCTCAGTTTTGCCACGATAGCAACTAATTCTCAGAAACCAGAGAGAGCCATTGTGCAGATCCATTTGCAAGCAACTGCTTTCTGCTAAGGGGGCCCAGCGGGAGCCCCAGAGCAAGCATCCCCCAGCTCAGCTTGGGGGTGCCATGCTCATCCCATGGAGACAGGAAGCCGGAGGGGAGCGCCTGATCTCCCCGACTCAGGGGCCTCCTGCCTGTGGTTGTCTCTGCAGGAAGGCGATGCGCTGGGCGCCATGGAGAAGCTATGCCGGCAGCTGACCTACCACCTGAGCCCCCACTCCCAGTGGAGGCGGCACCGGGGGCTGGTGAAGAGGAAGCCGCAGGCCTGGTGAGTCTCAGTCACCTGAGCCGGATCGGCCCTGCCCCCGCCCGGCCTCCTTCTAGAAGGGCAACCTAGAGCGAATCCATGCCAGGCTGGGCTACACAGCACTCCCTCCCAGGGGTGAAGGGAGAATTAGAGCCAGAGGGGTTGCCTTGGAAGGTGCCTGAAGGAGGTGAGATTGAAGGAGAATTCAGGGTTGGGTGGAGAGAGGAGCCAGGAGAGCATTCCGGGTGCGCATGAGCCATGAGGGGAGCTGCCGGTGGGGCCCTCCCTGGTCTGTGGGTTGGGAACCGGGGAGTCTGGGCCCATTCAGAAGGGGTGGGTGGGGAGGAAGACATGAGGCCTTCTAATTTCTGGTGTGCCAAATGTGGGCACTCCCACTGGATCCCCTACTTCTCCTGGATGTCTCCTAGGGAGACCCAGTCCCCAGCCATACCCCTGGGCCACGCAGCAGTGAGAAGCCTCAAGGGTTTTATGGCCCCCTGGAGAAGACTGGGGGGCTGGGGGCACATGAGACACAGAACCTGTGGGCAGAGACAGCTAGCACCATTGGAAGCAAGTAAAGGGGAGCCTAGGACGTTAGGCTTTCTGGAGGGAGCACCCCTGCTTTTCTTGTACATGACCATGGGGCAGAGTGGCTTGTGTCCTTCCCCTAGACTGGGTAGGGGCAGGACTGCCCTCCCTCACTGACAAGAGCTCTGGTTCCTCTTTCCCTTCTGGACTCTTCCACCCCAAAGCCAGGAGAGGAGCTGGATCCTGGAATGCCTCGCCAGGTGAAGGAAGAGAGTGAGTCAAAGATGGGGCTCCAACTGGGCTGAAGTCAGGAGCTGTACACGGGGGCAGAGCAGAGCAGGAGGACCCGTAGGACCTGGAATGCCACGAGAAGTCTGTGACCTAGTTCTTTAGGATTGAAAAGCTAGAAATGTGAGCTCTGCCGGAATCCAGGAGCCTCCTCTTCTGTCTCCCCAGCACACGTGCAGGCTTCGTCCATTCTTCATTTCAAAAGCCTCACTCCCCTCGGGTGGCTTCCCATCACACTAGTCAGTGCCTAGGACAGTGCCTGACACACAGCGGGAGCTTAAAAACACCTGCTGAAGGAGTGAATGAGGTAGGGGCTGTTACTGTCGCCATTTGACTGGCCACGATCACCCAGCTGCTAAGTGGCAGGGCTGGATTCAAACCCCAGGCTCAGGTTGTTAACCACACGCTATCTCCCAGGTGTAATGGGTCTGCTTTATTAGTCACACTGACCACAGCCAGTCCTTCGGTCACCCTGAACAAATGCCCCGCAATGCTTCAAGCACTTAGAGGTCACACTCTGAGAGGCAAGAGGGGGAAGCTATAAGCAGCCTTCCAGCTTCAGATCTCGAGGATAGAGACTTAACGTTGTTTTGCCAAGAGGAAGTCCAAGCCGTGATCCTTGGGCTGCTAATGTTAACCTATGTTCTTGAAACAGGCTCTGAGCCCCCTCTACCTTCCTCTCTCCCGCCGTTAGGGCCCCAGGGCTTGCCTGGGGTACCTGGAAATGGGCCGCTCTGGCCGCAGAGCAAGGACCAGGAAGAAGAGCAAGGAGTACCAGATGGCAAGGAGTGGAATGGGGTGCAGAGCCCTGAGCCTCCAGGAGTCAGCAGCTACCCCCCCCCCCCCCCGCCCCAGGCCCAGAGCCCCTGCACCCTCCCCTAAGGGCTCTCCCTAAGGATTCCCCATCTGGTGGGCAAGACTGTCTTGGAACCCAGGCCTCGAGAGACTTTGTGCTGCTCTTGGGGAAGCAGGAAGCTCAGTCTAGATGACTCATAATGTCATCAGCAAATATTCACTCATCACTCTCGTGTACACAAGGCACTGTTCTAAATGCTCTGCATCCATGACCTTATTTCTCGTTAACAATTCCGTGGTACTCAAGTAGCTCCTTTGCTCAGGTTAAGTGAGGCACAGAGAAGTTAAGGAACTGATTAGAGCTCACGCAAGTAGGAAGAAGAGTTAAGGTGCAAACCCAGGCACCACGGCCCTGCAATGTACCCTTAGTCACTGCAGAAACCTCTGGGTCTTTCCCCCGTGGTCCCTCAAGCTCTGGGCAGCTGGGCCCAGCCAGGCTGAGATGTGAGGTAGTGCCAGGGGACCAGAGGTCTTCGGTTTCTCCCGTCCCTGGAGGCGCAGAGCAGAGTTCGGTGCCGGCCACTGCTGCGTCCAGAAGGCCGGCCCCACTTGCTTGAACCTGGCTTGTCGCTTCTCCCCCGCAGCCTCAAGGCTGTCCTGGCTGGGAGCCCTCCGGACAACACCGTGGACCTGTCAGGCATCCCGCTGACCTCCCGGGACCTGGAGCGGGTGACCAGCTACCTGCAGCGCTGTGGGGAGCAGGTGGATAGCGTGGAGCTGGGCTTCACGGGCCTCACCGATGACATGGTCCTGCAGCTGCTGCCCGTGCTCAGCACGCTGCCCCGCCTCACCACACTGGCACTCAACGGCAACCGGCTGACGCGGGCCCTGCTGCGTGACCTCACCGACACCCTCAAGGACCCCGGCAAGTTCCCCAACGTCACGTGGATCGACCTGGGCAACAATGTGGACATCTTTTCCTTGCCCCAGCCCTTCCTGCTCAGCCTGCGCAAGCGCTCCCCGAAGCAGGGCCACCTACCCACCATCCTGGAGCTGGGCGAGGGCCCGGGCAGCGGGGAGGAGGCCCGGGATGGCACAGCGGGCCAGGAGGACCCGGGGGGGGGCCCTGTGGATCCTGCCAAAGACCGTGAGGGCAGGGAGACTGTAGGTGCAGCTCAGACATGACACAGAAGTGGGGGTCCTCACCAGGGAGCCCTGGTGGGGTAGGATGACTGAGGCAGGCGAGGGGGTCCCCACCGGGGGCCTCAGGCGATCACCCAAAATTGGCCTGGGCAGCCCCACTCACTGGCGCCAGACTGTATCATCTGGGAAGGGGGCTGTGAAATTCTTCCCTTCCGTCCTCTCCACTTCCGCCTCTTGTCAATTTCATCTGCCTTTTGGGTCCTGAGAAATCCCACGTGGCTTGAGGGGCAGTAGCCCTCAGCCTCCCCAGATTCGTGGGTGGTCTGTTTACAGAGGAAAGCTTGAGCTCATGTGGCTAAGAACTTAACCCAGGAATGGAGTGTAGTTTCAGCCCTACACCTAACCCAGTATCTCCTGATAGAACCCTTTTTCTCTACCCTAACACCCGGCTGAAGGTGGTTGGGGTAGAGGCACCGACCAGCTCCCCAGAGACTCCCAGAGCCTAGTCCCCATCTTAGAAGGTGGTCTCCCTCCTCCCTGTGAAGCCCTGGGGGTCCGAGGAACCACTTCCCAATCGTAGTCTCCACTTAAGCCCATACTTCCACCGGGGATTCCAGGCCCTGCCCCGGGGACCAGCCACCCTCTACCCTTCAAGAGTGTCCTAGGATGCCTCCGTAGCCGGCATGCGCCCAGAAACGCCCCACCATCCCCCCCCCCCGACCCAGCCTAAGACTACCAGACCTTTGGTAGGGTTGCAGTGTTCCAAGTCAGAGTACCACTACTTCCCTTCAAAAGGATTTTAAAGACCTTTTTCTGTTTCTGGTGGAGTCCCCAAGGAAGTCATCAAGGGTAACCGGGCTCACTCCCAAAAACCTATGACGGAAGGCTCCTAAAAAACCGGAGACCATGATATTGAGGTTAGACTTGCAACCCTTGGCAGATCTAGTACCCCCCAGCAACACAGCTAGGAGGTGAGAAACTAGAGGTTCCCGACAGTGAACCATGGTCTCCGCCATCTCTTGCCCCTACTCAAGACCTACCAGCTGAAAATCCCTTCTAGGCACAAGCCCTCCAACCAAGGCAAAGACTTCAAGTCCAGGGAGACTGGAGACCAACCTTTCTTTTACCTAAGAAAATTTAGATGCCCACAGTGGTGACCGACCAGACCACTCAGGCAAACGGCAGACAGCTGGGAAGCTTGGCCTGTCCGGCCTCTAGCCCAGTGACAGGTGAGATCCCAACTCAGGAAGCCACCAAGATGGGCTGGGTGAAGAGCCACACTACAGGGACCCTGCCTGCCACTGTCCAGGTGCTTGGCTGAGCGCAGTACAAAGCTTCAGGAGGTAGAAGGCTACGCACAAGGACACAGCCCAAAGGCAGACGAATCAAAGGTGTGGATGCCTTAAATGCTTTGGAACTTTTACCCTCAAGTCTAAAGTTGTTAGAGGGGCAACAGCTTAGACTGACCACGGACAAGCTGACACGTGCTAATACCTGGACTGCTTATTTGACAGCAGTGACCAAATTTTTTTCTTCAAATACACGTTTTTAAAAACCAGTACTAAAGGCCATCCTTTATTTTTTAAAGATTTTATTTATTTGAGACACAGCGAGAGAGGGAACACAAACGGGGAGAGGGAGAGGGAGAAGCAGGCTTCCCGCGGAGCAGGGAGCCCGATGCGGGGCTCGATCCCAGGACCCTGGGACCAGGACCTGAGCCGAAGGCAGACGCTCAACGACTGAGCCACCCAGGCGCCCAAGGCCATCCTTTATTGTAGTTTGTGGTAATTGCACAGAAGCATCAGTTTCAGGAAGAAATACATTTGCAGCTTAAAGAACTCACCCAACAGAACAAATTTATACAAAATTTACAGGTATAGCAGCTCTCTTTGGACAGGGGAGCTAAAAATACAACACAATACATTACTAGAAAGCTCATGAATTCAATGACACCAACAGTGCCTATCCTAGCGTAGTATCCTAGCAAGTTTGCCAAACACGTTTGTTGGCTCTGCTGGTAAGAGAATGGCCTCGGAACCTCAACACAAGTTAAGCATTGTTTCCACACCCACTGTCGAAGCCTGGGTTTTCAGTCCAAACTGATGGTATGGTGACCACTGGTCCTCGAAACTTCAAGTTCTTCCCCTGCTGCAGCATGGCTGACCTTTCTCTGGGAAAATAGCCTGCAAGAAAACTAAGTTATCAGTATCACTAAGTATCACTTTCTACTCCACCCAACAGCTATTCACAGCATAAAAAGGTTATCTTCAGAAAACCTTACATTCACCACTACACAATCTGCCGGTAATTCCAGCTATTTTGGGTGATTTCATCATTTGATATCCTTTTTCTGAAAATCAGTTTTAACGATACTAGCCGCTTATTCATTCCACCACGGGGGGAGGGGTCCTTGTCGATGGAAGCTTACCTCTCCTCAAGCTAAAGGGCTGCCGCCTCCAGCTTTCAAACTCCACACCGCAGACCACCATTCTTGAGCACCTCAGCACACAAAACCTGGGGGAACGAATTAAGGCACCCCTAGATGGGCGGCAGATGAGGCAGAAAAGAGAGCAGTTTTGATCATGATAGCCTCAACTACAAATTCCAGTTCGTCTCAGGAGCCCTTAACCTACTGGAGTTGTTTTTTTGCAAATGAAGCCACGTTAAGTCCACACGTCCTAACTGGCTTCTCTGGGTGTTCCACCTCATTTCATCCCATCGTTTTAAACATCACACACCTAAAGCTGTCATCTTCAAGGATGAGGAAAGCTACACCTCAGGATTTTACAGCAGTGAGGTAAAAAGGAACTCCTGGCTTTCCTCTGCCCTCCGCTCCGTGGCCACCATGAACCATAATCAGTGTCTCTGGGATACTGTCGATAAAGGTCAAGGGCTATGCTGATTCGAGTTATTAGGTTAACCAAAGGGCCACTGCCCGACCTAACGGGAACTTTAACATCATCTAACAGCTATGCAATCTGCAAGCTTACCTCAAGGCAGGCCAGTGCTCATCCCTCGAACGCTCTGCTGCTGATCTGATCACACACTGCCGACCCCACACCCATCTGCACCCTGGGTGAATAGACGAGAAAAGGTCACTGTTCAAACCGACCTACTCCAGGGCAGCGGCAGCTCGGGAGGCCCTGTTGACTGCAGTCAGCCAGGAACAGTTATCGTCAGTTATCGCTTCTGACGGCACTTCCTATAAGTGATTTCATCAGAGCAGTCAACACCTCCCCGCTCCCCAGTACTGCTCCAGAAACCTGGAACGGGACCTGGGATTAAGTCGCAACTGCTTGGGAAACAACCAGGACGTTGCATTTTAACTGGGAGTTTATCTCCCGCCATAGCCGCGGTTGAAATAGTTCCAGGTTAGGAGTAGCCTCCTCCAATTTCCACTTGAGGCCCCGTGCTATGTTTGCAATTTTATGCATTGCCCAATGCATAAACCTGTAAAGGAGCAGCCGACTCCAGTGCATTTACTAACAAAGACGAAAAAACAAGGTTAGGTGTTATAAACCCTGCCCAGGCTGGGTCCTACCTCAGGGTGGGAGGCCACTCCCGGCCTGAAGGCGCTGCGAGGGTTCTGCCACCTGGAACACGGAGGGTGACACGCGTTAAGGGCAGGTGGTGGCAGCGACGTCCAACCGGACCGTTGAGGCTCCGGCGACAGCGGTCAGACACGCATCGAAGTCGTCAGGCATCGCTTCTGACGGCTCTTCCTAACCCCAGGATCATCAGCACAGTCGGGCACGGCCTCCTCGCGGTCCCACTCCCAACCTCCCCCCGGGGCCGAACTCACCCAGTCCTCCGGGGTCGGCGCAGCCCCCACGCCGGGTCCGGGGAGCGGGGGCCCGGCCTTCGGGGACCTCAGGCTCCGGAGACGGCAGCGGCGGCCCTGCCGGACAGACACGCGCGCGGGCCTTGAGCCTCGGCCGCCGGCGGCCCTGCGCGACTCTCCCCCACCGCCGAAGCCCGGACACGCGCTTTAGGGAGCCGCCCTGCGCCCCCCACGGAAGCTTCCCCGAAGACTTCTTCCCAGGAATTAGGAAGTCTTTGGCTCCTTCGCCCTTGCCGCCAGCTACTAGGCCCAACTACACAGACCACTCACCCTCATCATCACGATAACGGAAAGGTCGCCGCGCCTGCGGCCCGGCCCTTTAAGGAGTCGGAACATTCCATTCCTCACAGAAGGGAGGGTAATACTGCAAAGACTCACGGGAACTTCCGGCCCATTTGACGGCGCAGACTCCGCCTCATCACCCCGGGACACCCCCTCCGTTGGAGCCGATGGTCTCTTCCGTGGCCCCGGGAATTCTGGGTCCCGCGGCGCCCGGAGCGTTTCAGGGCGCATGCGCAGGGGGTGGAGGGACGTTGCGACCGAGGTCGGTCTTTAGCTGCATGTTTTGGAGCAAATTACTCAGCCTTTGTGAGCTTCCGATTGCTCATGTGGTAAGTGAAGCTACCGGCACCGCAGAGGTTGTTCTGAGGATCACGTGAGATACCACACTTGAAACCCTGCAGAGCCTTGGCAGGCAGCAAGCCTTCATAAAATAGTAGCTGCTTCTGATTCTTCCTGCTGCCCGTCCGCTCTCTCCCCACGGCTATTTCCGAATATCCCCGGAGCTTTTCAGAACCTCTGCGCGCTGACAGCTCTCATCAGCCCCCTTGAGGATGACCCCTGAGGAGCGAGCAGACGTCTTAGCTGGTACCACTTCCATCCTCTCCACCCCTTTCCTCCTGATGCCTTAGGACTCCTGCATCCGTTCCCCAACCCACCGGCGGTGGAAACCTCTCCCTCTCCGCAGATGCTTTCCTTTCAGCCTTTGCACGAGCTCAGGTCTCTGCCACTTAAAAACTATTCAGTGCATACGCATTTTATAAACACTCGTTCCACCAAGGGAGAGCAATTCATTTGGACTGGAGAAAACTGGAAAAGCTACCGCGAGACAACTTTCTGGTCTTAGACTTTGAAGGATTTTAATGGTGGGGCGGGGGCTTCCTGCAAGAGCCAAGTCAGGGGGTCAGATTACACCGGTTCATCAGTCTGCCTGAAGAATTTGGTAAAAGTGCTAAGGAGAGCATGGGGAGCAGCAGGGGTATCCGGGATGAGGTGTCTGGAAATTCGGGGTTAAAACCGTGGAGGACCAGGGATGCCAACTAGGGCGACCTGCGGGCACTGGGGGAGATTCTTAAGCCTTCAGGGTGCAGGGGTAACGTGTTTCTCTTCCATCTTAGGAAGGCCCCTCTGGCTGCCCTGCAGAGCAGCTCGGAGGGGTAGGAACTGAGCAGGCGGCCCAGAAGGGAAAGAAACCAGTAATCCAGAGCCTGAAGGAAGCCAGGGAGCTCAAAGGCTTTGAGAGAGATCTTGGAGGTGGCTTTAAGGAGTGTCCAGAAGCTGTGGGAGAGGGAGGAGCGGTGGCTGTGTTGCCGTGTCCACCACCACACATCTGTCATGAAAGCGGGCACAGCATCCGGGAAAAGGACCACCCCGAGGCTGGGGGCCAGCAGGGAAGGGTCTCCCGTGCCTGAGTGAGGCTGAGAGTAGCCCAGCCCCAAGACAGAGAAATGCTCACCAAGAGACACGCAGATATCAACCAGCCCAAGAGCCCACAAACTTTGCTTAAACAATGTTTCCAGGAGAGTTAGTGATGAGAAAATATTTATTTACATTTGCCACCAAAGGTTCCCGGAGCCCCAGAGCCAGCACGTAGGGCTGGGACGATCCCCTGACTCTGTCCTGCATCTGGACCATTATTGAGACTTTAGGAGCTGGAGGGGCAGTTGATCTTCCTCTGAGACAGTGTCCTCCTCTAGTTGGGAGGCCGGGGCAGGATTCTTCAAGGTGCCTGTAAATAGGATGGAGAGCACTGCGGCTCGGCCCTTGGGCTGTGTCCCCAGGAGGACAAACGGGAGGAGGCCCCAGCCATGAATCCACATACTCTGTGTATAGCAGGTAATCCTGAAATCCCCAGCAATGCCTCTCCCTACCTCCCCCTTCCACAGGCATTTCCTGAACCCCTGACTTGGTGCCCTCGGGGGCCTCCTCCCAGGAGCTCAACATCCCTTGGGTTAGAAACCAGAACACCTGAGACTTGCTGAAGAGCTGGAAGGAAGTGACAAGTAGGTGTTCAGGGAGCTCTGAGGAGAGAGTGAACCCAACCTGTAAGGAAGGCAGCGGATTTGGACACCCAGAGGAGCAGGAATGACACTTCCGCAGAGAGCCAAGGAAAGCAAAGAACAGGGAACACTGGAGGGACCGGCTGTCGCATGGAGGGAGGTGTGGGAAATGGGTCAGACTACAGCACTGGAGCTTCGCCTCTTCCGTGAGGAGTGAGGCCTCGCAGGCAGTGGGAGGCGCAGAGCATGGGCCTCATGTAGTTTCGGTCTGCATTAGAGGGATCAGCCTGGAGCAGAAAGACTTCTCTAAGGGAGAGCGTGCAGACTGAGCCCTGCAGTGTGCAGAAGGGGGTTGAAATGAGGGGTGGGGGCAGAGGGGTAAGTAGCCGCCTGGGAGGTTCTGAAGATACTCAGCACCAGGCTGAGGGGGACACTGAGCAGAGATGGTCAAGGCCTCCTGCCTGGATGAGGGGAGAGAGGGGTTGCACGCACACTATCTGGTGGGGCAACCCCACAACCGTTCCTGTTGGGGATGTCCAGGTGGAAGCCCCAGCAGGCAATGGGTATGGGACCGGGGTGTGGAATGCTCGGGGCAAGATGTGGGGCAAGGTGACTTTCAGAGTCTCGGCACTGAAATGACGGGGTGGCAGGACTCGGGATGGGAGACACAAAGAGGAGGGCAGGCAGACAACCTATGGGTTTGTGAGGGCCATGGTCAGGGACCCAGGGGCCTGGGAAACCAGCAGGCTTTGGGGCCAGAGTCTGGAGGAGCTTCCCCACACAGGGGTCAGAGGTGATACGGGTAGTGTCATGGCGCGGGGTCGGCGCCACAGACACAAGCCAGTGGAGTCTGTTGGAAGGAGAAGGCGAAAGGAGAGGAGAGCCGACTGCAGATGAAGTGGGAGCTACTGAAGAGTCCAGAAAGGGCATGCTGTGGAGAAAGTTAAGCCCCGGAACAGGCCTCTGGGTGAGAGGAAGGAGCCAAGACCCTTGGTGGAAGGCAGCAGGTTAGAGACAGGAGAAGCAGTCCCCACACTAGAACGGCCGGGACGCAGCCCATGACAGTGGGGAAAGGCGTCGGAAGTGACTTCTCAGGGCTGTGGGGGCTGGGGCTCCAGTAGTCGGGGAAAGCTGGGGGTCAGCAAGGCTGGCCTGTCAGTGGGGGCTCAAGGAGATGCCCCCGCAGCTGGGGGATAGGTGAGGGGCCCTCTCTAACCTGTTCCCCCGCTGGGTCCCCAGGCGCAGCCCAGGCCTGGCGCTGGAGCACCCACCGAACAGTCCAGGAGGCGGGAGGTGAGGGAAGGTTTAAGGCTGGACTGGGGGAAGCAGCAACAGCCTCAGTGTCTCCCAGGTGACAGCCTGAAACAGGCCAGGGAGGAGGTGGCGGTGGAGAGGCGAGAAGTGCTTGGACATGGAGGGGGTGCTGGCCCAGACACACACACTCTCTCTCTCTCTCCAGGGCAGGGGGTCCGGCCACCACGGCTACTCACCAGGGACAGCCGGCCCTGATGGCTCCTCACACACAGTCGGCAGCGTCTGCTCCCATGAGGCCCAGTTCACTTCCTCCACCCTGAGAGCAACAGAGCAGCTCGGAGGCTCCGGGAAGCCACCTGTGCAGCATGCTTTGCCCCAGGAGAGGGGCCCACGTAGACACAGGTAGCCACAGGGACCGGGAGAAGGATGGGCTTTCGCCACCCTTCTCCCTGGACACTGGGCCACCCACCATCCCGCCCCGGGCCCCCCCCGCCCTTGTGGCTATCACCCTCCTGCCCCCTGGGCCACATGTCTGCAGCGGAGGAAAAGGCATCTGTCCCTTCAGGCTGTGCACCGTGACCTGGCTTGCCCTCAACATCTAGAGAAGAGTCTCGATCAGGTGTGTCTTTGCGTTCCTGGGCTCCGGAGCCCTTCTGTGGCTACTGCACAGGCCGAAGACCCCTCCCCTCTCCTTGCTCAACTGCTGTCTTACGACAGCGTGTTTCTGGTTGTGCATTTGTCACCAGGTTCTCCCTCCCATGGAAGCTTTGTTTTCTGTGGGAGGGTCATCGCCTCTGTAGTCAGGCTGGGGGAGTGGGGAGGGCAGAGCAGACCAGCCAGGCGAGGCTAGTGTGCTTAACCTGAGGGTCCATCTGGCTTCTTGGCCTCCTAACTGTTCCCTATTTCAGGCCAGAAGGAGTAGGTCAGGGGCCACCAGGGAGGGGACAGGCAGTGAGTGTCAGGCCTGGCCCTATGGGATCCGGCATCCCTGACCTCCCCCGCCCAGGGCAGAGTGCCTGGCGCTCCTAGGCTCTGCCTCTCCCTGACTTAAGAGAGTAAAGCTGGAAAAAAAAAAAAAAAGAGTAAAGTTGGGGGGGGGCGCCTGACTGACTCAGAAGAGCATGTGACTTGATCTCCAGGTCGTGAGTTCCAGCACCACATTGGGTATACAGATTACTTAAATAAACATTTTAAAAAGTGGGGGAGCCTGGGTGGCTCCATCATTAAGCATCTGCCTTCGTCTCAGGTCATGATCCCAGGGTCCTGGGATCCAGTCCCGCATCGGGCTCCCTGCTCAACGGGGAGCCTGCTTTCTCCCTCTCCCACTGCCTACCACTCCCTCTGCTTGTTTTCTCTCTCTCTTTCTCTTGGTCAAGTAAATAAATAAAATCTTTAAAGAAGAAAAAAAAAAAGAGTAAGGCTGGCCTGCCCCACGGCAGCCTCCAGGGGCCACTGGGAGAGCAAGGCCCCCAAGCCGCCCTCCCCTGCCTCCCTGCCTCCCTCCCTCACCTGAAGCACCAGCGCTCGTCGGGGCTGCCGTCTGGCCTGGTGCCAACGGTCAGCTTCACACCAGCCCGCTGCTTCTTCCTCCTGCACCACCAGTAGCCATTCTCCATCTCCAGGACAGAGATGGCTTTCTGGGGACAAAGGACACATCAGACAGTAGCCAGGGAGGTACCTCACAGCACTTGACAGTATCACCCAGAGTCTGCTAAGCACGTGGATTTGAGTCTAGCTCCAACATTTGATTGCGTGAGGTATGGAAGCCCCGCAGCTCCCCCTGAATTTCAGTTTCCCCGATTGCAGATGGACGGGTG